TTTTTACCCAAAAACTAATTAACTAACAAGTTTTATATAAATGTTATGATTAGTACATGAGATACATGTATCAGTGGAAAAACCGAAAATTGATTAATCATTATGTAAATTAGGTAATTAATAATATTAACAAATTTTTACCCAAAACTAACCAAATCTGCGCAATAGTTCAGTGCATCCATGTGCCAAGTTTCATTGAAATCCAATGAGTGGTTCTTCAAATATCAGTGGAACAGTCATAGAACAGCTTAAAATCAGTTAATTATCATGCAAATTAGATAATTAATATTCATAAATTTTTACCCAAAACTAATCAAATCTGCGCACTAGTTCAGAGCATCCATGTGCCAAGTTTCATCAAAATACAATGAGTGGTTCTTCAGATATCAGTGGAACAGTCTTGGAACAGCTAAAAATCAGCTAATTATCATGCAAATTAGGTAATTAATATTCATAGATTTTTACCAAAACCTAATCAACTCTGCGCATTATCCCAGAGAATCTATGTACCAAGTTTCACCCAAATTTGATTAGTGGTTTTTGAGATAATGGTGGAACAAAAAAAGTGACATACATACATACAGACATACATACATACATACAGACAGGGTAACTGCAAAGACTCCCTTTTGTGCTTCGCACACGGGAGTAAAAAATATTACATCAACATTACATCAAGAAGGCCTACAAAAAATAAATTTATGTTTTTTGTCAGCGCGTTCACCATGAAAATAAGTGGCAGCAGACTTTTATTTTCAACTTATTTCGTTCAAAGTGATAATACCTGTAAAATTGGCTGTGCAGTAAATGTATAAAAACAAATTGCCTCACGTACTGCTCCAGTTTTTACACAAAATTGATCAAATTAAAGAGGGAGGGTCTTCATTTGCGCACGCATGGGAATCGAGTCCCAAGCGACGATTACAACACACGCTAAAAATGCAAAGGCTCATGGGTAGGAACTTGTTTGTAAACAGTGACACGCTATGGCCATCTGACGCATGCGCAGGTGAAGACTCCCCCACTTTAACATATACAATATTTTGCAAACCTGCAGAGAATGCTCACCAACAACATTGTGATCATGGGATTTGAATAGAAGAGATTTTGCACACCAAGATACATATTAAGAACATATCAATAACATGTAATGATCTCCAGGCAGCTAGATTGTCTCGAGTCTAAAGCCAGAAAAAAGCCGACAAAATAAAAGAAATATCAAGCATACAACTGTACTTTCCTGCTATAAACAAAATTGCTTTCTGCCTAAAGCAAGAATTGTTTTTCACGACATATATCCTTGTACAGTGAAATTGTCTGATATTTTCTAAAGCATGTTTACTGATAAAGGGAAATTTATACTGAATATAATTGAAAATAGCATATTATTGAAAACACATTAACATTACTGGTACATAAAAAAAAATTTAAATATTTGAGAATACATATCCATAATGAGGAAGTTTAATACTTTAGTTTAGCTGGAATTAATTTTCGCTGAAAAGACTTTTTGGTGTTTTGTATGGATTTTATTTTCAATGATTTTTGATGAGTTAAATGTAAAATATGGGAAAAAAAAGAATATTCGCTTGTTTTTATTTTCACTGAATCATTCCTTCAGCGAAAATAAAGTATTTTACAGCACATGACTTTCAATTAGCAGTGTGATCTAACGTAATCTGTGAAAGGGAAATATCGAATATCTGCTTCATAAATTTAACAATTTCATTTGAACTTGAATTTCCTGTTTTATAGTTCAATGTCAAAATTCCGATCTTTCAGAGAGGAATATGGTGTTGTGACACCCTTAAATGATAAAAATCTACCCTCTTAAGATGTGTATAGCACATTATTAAGTGTACTTTCATGTTTGTTGAATTCTCTGTGATATTTTGATGCCATCATAACACTATGACCTTAGTTTGTGCCTTTTTTATGTTAAATTTCATGCATGATGCCTCAGTCAAAAAAAAAATCTGTTGTCACTGTCCCAAATTGGAAATAATCACTAAAATGTGGCCTTTTTATATTAGATCATTTCCAATTATTGGTTAATACAGCTATAAACATTGTCAAAATCCATTTGTAATTCAAACTATTTTGTCATTAGAAATTGGGCTTTATGACATATGGGACGAATCAAAGAATGCTTAGAGCTGAAGTTACTGAAGGTATCCCTTTAAAGTGCTTGTGCAATGCCCACCCACATGTTTCCCATTTTACATTCATATTCCACTGAAATGGGCAGTTATTGATTATTGAAGAGCAGTGATACGTATAGTCATAGTGTAAGTATTCACATGTTTCCAATAGATCTGAAGGTGCGACATCAGTGGCCGAAAGCCATGAAAGCAACGAGAAATGGTTGAAAAATGCCGTAACTGCCACATGCCACATAACCTGGCACAACACTTTTGAAAGAAAAAGATTCCGGACCAGCTCATGATCACCGAGGCGGATTTCAGAAGAGAGAGAGAAAGAGAGAGACGTCAGACAAGTGTTTCAAATTATTTGACTTTTTTTACGATCCTGATTATCGTTTTAAAGAAACCATTTAGTCAGTGTTAAGTAAAAGGTAGCAATAATTTTGATAGTGACAAGAAAACGAAGTGTAAGACAAACCGGAAATTACACAGCCCTTACACACTGCTAATTGTTTTCATTTCTGCAGGCTAAAAGTTTCTGAACTGTTCGGCGATTGGTGTTGAATGTCGAATCATGGAGCTAAAAATATGGTTGAATTCACACTTCTGTTACCTTTACTTGCAGCTTGATCTGCGTAATAATTTATGGAATAAGAATCCGGGCTTGGGCTGTCAAAGTGTTTCCACCAAATAAAGTTTTAATATGATGTCATAATTATGACAATCACGCCATGGATCATGCTAATTCAAATCCACTTTGAATTTATCTGTATGTGTGTCGCTCTTGATTATTTTTGTTATCCAATTAAACACCGCCTTTAACGCACTTGTCCTCGTCGTGACCCAACACGTTCACCCATTTCAACAAAATGTCAATTTATTTCCATGCGGCTGTCATTTATTTAGTAACTGTGATTTGTCGTTTTTTAAATTATTTCTCTATTTTATTGATCACTATAGTTTAATGTTTAGAATGTCAAAATATGTTCTCTTTTTTCTCTTGTTTTACTCAGATGATAGATGAAATAAAACAGTGTAGTGACATGCCTAGTAACCTGCTAAATAACGAGACAAGTCAGGCATCTAATTTGATTTTATCCAGTGCCGGGTTCCAGTGACAGTGTACAAACGTGTGCCGGTGCTGGTGACGGTGGCAGTGATGATCACGGTGACCAGTTACACCAGAACGGACATATTTCGCATCTAACTCAACTATGTGTTCATTATGGTACATTCTTCTTCAACGAACAAGTACATAAGTGACAATTTAGTCAAAGATGAGAAAACTGCACAAGAAATTTGCCTTATTTACACGTATCGGCAATGCAACCTGCCCAGCGAGTTCCCCTTCTGACGTCACAAGGGGATTTTCTGTATGCAAATGAGAAGCTAATGAGGAGCCTCGTTTTAAAATAAACAAAAATAAAGTTGCCGTGGACTGAGTTTAAAACACATTTTTTCACTTAAAAAAAAAAAATTCATGCTTAGAAACATAGAAATTAATAATATCTATGTATCAATGGATAATTTTAGACGAGAAAATAGCGGCCATTTCACAGGCACTTTAAATATAAAGGGGTCTGTTGGTTCATATATACATGTCGTGCTTTTTTTTGTGAAGCAAACTAAGAAAATAATCTGATCCACAGTACTGAAGCTAACATGTTGCGAGGCTGCCTTTGCTTGCAGTCTGTCGGAATAATTCTCAGAACAGCTATAACTAGATGGGGAAACAGAAGAAGAAATAAAGTTGCCAGCCATGTAAAAGCAAAGACTATTAGCTAATTAATCCATAGCATGACTATTCCATAGTACTTTAAACCTATATTGTAGTCCCTTGAACTTTACTGGTGTACAT